CACAATTGTCATAAGCAAAATCTAGAAAATTTGGCAGCTCTTCTATAAGTTTACCCTGAAGTTTATTTCCTGTAATTTGTGTTTAATGTTCAATACCAAATCTACCTTTCTTATTGCTTCTCTTATGGAGAAATAGAAGTATACTCTTGTGTTCTTACTTTCTTATAGACATGAGCTTGCCAGAGATTGGAGTGCTGCTCAGAAACATATTTTGTGTTGTTCTCTTATTCCTCACCCAGAGCATTTGGAAGAATGAGAGAATGCAACATCATCTAAAGCAAAAATTGTAAGGATAATATATTTCTAGTGTTAAAATCCTTCCAAAGATGCATTTCTCAACAATCATTTTGTAACAACAAATACTGAAGGTCCTGTCAAAGCACTTGACCTCAATACAACTCATTATGTAGGCTTCAATAGTTGTACATGCGAACACACGTAACACATTTCATTCTTTGTCTTGCTTTGTGCTACAACAGGGTGAAAGAGTGCCAAACAAATCTAGAATAATAAAATCAAACACATTAATTAGATCAGATTGGATATACGTTGATATAAAATTAAAATATCTCTAAAACTTCCAGTGCAACAAAATTATTCACGCAAATAAATGCAGACAAATTCATAAAATGAGCAAAAGCAGTTGCTGTTAAATAGTTAATCTAGACCAGCCTTCACACTCCTTCGCAGCTCATCCTAAAAGGAGCAGAGCATTTTATCTTTCAGAGGCAGCAACAAAGACTGTGATGTTATCTTTTCAACATTACAGTTTTGAACTGTGACATTTATTCTGACTTCCACATTCGTTCCTACGCTTAGCTTCATGCTCAAAGAGGTCTTCATTCAAATTTGCAGATATTCTTTTGTCACTACAATTCAACCTTTACCTTGAGGATTTCTTTTTCCCCACAGGAAAGTGTTTTTATGAAATTGGGTGAATTGAATTTCATGATCACATCTGAAAGCAAAGTGCATTTTAAGACAGCTTTATCTCTGCAAGAAAAAATATACATTGACAGAAGGGATCTTACCAATATGAATACAAATATTTTAATATTGAGTAATAATACTATATGAGATTGTTTGAGGACACAAAGACGAACATTTGAAGCATATTCTAGCCCCGTCTAGACTCAGATTTTCTCATGATCTCTCTAATGCCCTGTTCTTCACTTAGAAAATAATTGATTGATAAATAAAAGTGTGAGTAAAAAGTGCTTTGTTTTTATTCAGCATAATGAGAGAATACAAGCACAGGGTATCAGGTAGGGGAACAGAAGAGAAATAGCTGACAGAACAAGGCGATCAAGGGACTGTGAATCCTGATTCATAGTGGTAATTTGACTGAGAGAGTTCCAAAAGAGGAACACTGCATCATACCAGTGCAGTGCGTCTGTGGAGCTAGTATTTGAACCTGAGTGCAGAGGAGATGTCTCTGGGCAGCAAGAGCACTGTTCAGAAGAGGCTGAATAGTTTAGCCATGCTCTCTATAACTAGGAAGCAGTAAGGGATAAGCATAAGCGTATTTACTGAGAAAAAATGTAGGAGTCAAGATGAAGGGTCATGCCTCCTCAATTCTTCTTTGCCCTCAAAATAGATCCAGCTGTTACTGCTTGTCTTCACTTAAACAGCCTTGGCAAGGAACCAATTATTTTCTCCATTTTCCTTCCTTCTTTCTCAGACATGTTTCTGATAATCGCTTCCTGTATATTTTTTATGTATAGGAGTCTGAGAAGAAAAAACCTTAAAATCTGGTGTGCTTCTCTTCCTTCCTTATTCCATTTTAAAGAGGAAATAAAAGAGTCAAAGCAGAAGCAGACAGCTAGAAAGAGAATGTGGAGAATCTTAAGAGTAGTTTAGCATTTGAAGTGAAGGGAAAAAGAAAATAAACAATGTGTTTTCAGAAGACAGAAGAGCCAGGTAGATAAACAGCTATGACATGAACAGTTTTCATGAAAACATTCTAAAAATACATTGCAAAACACCTTCCTCATTCCTAGAAGCAATTTACTGAGCATTCCAATTAATACTTTTCCTCTGCCTTTCTGTTCTATTAAGTAAAGCAGTTGTTGAGTTACCATGGAACAGTGCACAGCTGAGCAGGGCAGAGTATAGTGCCTGGATTAAAGTCTTCCCTTTGTTCTAAGTAATTAAAAGGTGTCAAGCTAATGAGGAAAAAAAGATTACCTGTGCTTAATGAAAGGAAGCTATTGGAACAATTCCGTAAGATAGAGAATCTGTAAAATCAATCTGAAAATTAAGATTAATAGTTTTAATTTTCTTAAATAGTTTTCATTTTCTGAGATGTCCTCTTGCTTTAATAAACACAGCAGTACATTTACAGCCCCTATTTATCCCACTTGTGGATCTTCTAGAATGTTTCCATAACAACATCACTATAGTCCATCAAGACAATGAGCAGGAACCCTGACTCAGCATCTCATGACTACTGGTGAGAAGTGTGGAGCCCATCACTGTTCTAGCTGCTCTTTGTGGCCTTTTGTTCTCTTTGATGCTTTTAGCTTCTTCTGCTGAATTCAGGAGAATTCCTGAACAGGGACTGTTTTTAGAAGAAAACGTTTTTAATGTAGAATTTTTTGAATTTCACTGATTCCTGTAAGATGAACAAAAAGTATTATGTTTCAGTTAAGGAGTTTTGCTGTGGGACCAAGGAAGGAAACAAATTCCAAGGGCAGCAGTCCGTGATAGCCTTTCATTTGCTGTAGAGAATGCTAATCCACACTAGCCCTTAGGCTTATACATTTTTCCCAGTTTGTGTCGTTGGCTGGCAGACTGATTCTCCTGCTCTTTCCTCCCTCACACCTGCTCCAAGAATCCTTATGGGAGAAGGAACAAGAGCCCAGTGACAGGGTCCTGTCTCACCTCACTTCTATGCTGGGGCACAGGAGAGAGCAGGTAATGCAGGACACTGGGTATCCAGCGCAGCTTCTACCTGAGACTCAAATATCATCTCTGTGTTGACAGCAGAATTGATTTTGTAGCGTGTAGAACATGAGCCAACTGTATTATAGATCATCTAAAAAAAATCACAAGAAACTACAGCACTCTTTTTTATATAAAAGGATAAATAGAGCATTTTATTAACACTTTTTGCAGCAACAAAAGTGACACAGTCCACATCTTTTTCATTAAACACAGCAAAAGCTATGGTCACATTTTACATCACTTTGAGGCACAAAGCAAAATATTTTTTTCTTAAGGTTAAGGTATGATTTGCATAAAAAGAAAAGAAAAAAGAAGGAAAGTAGGAAAGAGTGAAAGAAAGAGTGAAAGAGTGAAAGAGTGGAAGGAAGGAAGGAAGGAAGGAAGGAAGGAAGGAAGGAAGGAAGGA